GTTGCATAACAAACCCATAATCACCTTACAGCAAACTAGAAGGCAGGATACTTTTAACAATCAATGAGTTTCACATTATATTACATAACTGACGACTTAAGGATTTATTTTTCCTAGCAATAACACCTTTTACTCACATCTATCCTGTGGAACTGTCTTAAAGAGGTTTCCATTTATACAGTGTAAATCAGGTGTTTGTGATGTTGACTGTCATTGTGAATGCAGAATAGTAGGGTGAGCCTGGACCCACTGTCTAGATGCAGAGGGCATAGGACAGCACATAAATCATTATATTAATAGGGTTGATAAAACATCTTCAGTGAAGGGGGACTGAAGGAGATGAAAGGCAGTCAACATACATTCATCAGGACAGCAAGCTTTTCTTGGGTATCATGGATAATACAGCAAGTTTCTTCAGAGTAGAGAGCTGTGATATACCCTGGCTGTTTCCTAGGCTTTTTACTATGAACTTCTGCATAACACAGGCCAAAATCTCCCCAGATGATTTCTTCATCTTGTCCACAAGCTTGAGGTTGAACTACAGCATCACTTGTAGATATCATTTAAACAGAACTCTACATTATTGTCCATTGCTGTTATCTTTTAAGGCAACCTGTCATCATACATTATATTTCCAGAGATTGTGATGTCAGCCATTGTTTTCTGAGCTGACATTTAAGGTTGCCACAATGCTGCATAATGGCAGATAATAGTTCAGTGATAATGCATATTGAGCTGCTCTGCTCCGTGAATCATGAATCACCTGAGAGCAGTTTGGAGCAGCTTCCTAATAAGTGAGAACTCACTAAAAAATAATCTGATGTCAATTATAAGCTAATTCTTCATCGCCTGAGTTCTGCTTTTCACTTTGGCCTTCCCTGTATACAGCTCAGGCTTCCTCCCCTGCTATCAAAATTCATCTATCGCTACTTACCTTTTCTCCCTAGTTTTGATGTTCACCTGCTGCTAGGGCTATGCTAAATTTCAACATGTTCTTTGTTTTGAAGCTGTTTTGATGAGTTTTGAGCTCAAAACAGTGAAATTGAAAAAGAACAAAAGGCTTTGAAATAGCTTCAAAACAAAATGAGGGGACTTGAAACGTTTCAAAAGTTTTGAAAGGTTTCAAGTTTCGAAACCAGGCTTGCTGCAGTGTGGGCCCCTGGATCTGTGCATGGGATGACAGCAGGCTACCGCTGCCAGCTGGGGCCCAGATCTGCATGTGGGATGACAGCATGCTGAGGCTGCCAGCTGGGACCAGTGCGCGGTACAGCCCGTGCTGATCACCAGGAAGTCTGGTGCTGCCACTGGCCCCAACTGGCAGTGGCAGCATGCTGTCACTTGCAGTTTTCATCTGAATCAGGCAAGAAATGACGAAGTTATAGGCATTTTCATGATTCCCCATTATAGCCTATGGGCAAAACATCAAAACACGTCAAAACAGCTAAACAGTTTTGACAAAGTGAAACAGAACAGTGCTTAAAAATGAAACAATGAAACAAAACGCCGTCCCTTTGAGATGGCTAAATGGAAGTTGAAATGAAACAGTGCTGTTTGGCACAGCTACTACAGGACTTTTGTAATTTGAGCCAGTTCTTCTGGTCTAGCCATCCTGGACTTATTATCTGTCTCTTCTGTGAAAGGACCATTGTGGAAGCCTTCACCTACCTTGCTAATGTCTTCCTGTGATCATTTCTTTTTGTGAAACTACTGCAAGCCCAAGGAATAAAGAGAGAAATGTATGGAATGAAAGATGCTGGATTGAAATCTTTGAGATTTAGGCTTAGATTCATTAGGAGGATTCAGACCCATTAGTCTAACATTTTGACACAATTGGCATTCACTAAAATTCCCCACTTATGTGGACGAGACACAGCACAGTTGTGGGCAGCCCCCCTAAACTGTTCTGCAGCCTTACTAAAAAGCTTCTGTTTCTCAAGGAAAGGGTGGCTCATTTTCTAGGTTTTTTTTAAACCCTTGAAGCAAAATGCAAGTAGTGGCAGTAGTTGTCTCCAGTTGGTGTTGTCAATAGCTCACTAAGAAGTAAGTTGAAACCACTGATATATTCCTTGCAGCTATCAGCTCACACCATGCAAGAAACCATGCACCTATCAGCTCACACCAACTTTTCTGCTGCTGTTGTCAAATCTACCAAGCAAGACATGTGCATCAACTTAATTTTGACTCTGGGGAGCAGCTTACTGCAGCTCTCCCAGAATTTATTCCTTATCTTTGTGTAGTGTTATTGTGGGCTTCACTTTAGTTAGGTGGTGTATGCCCTGCTGCTGTGGATGACCTGGGTGTTGTTAGAAGTTCCAAATTCCTAGACGTACATAGACATCTAAGCGTCTGATCAACAAGCAGTCAGCTTCTTGCCCATCTAAATATCATGAGCTGAGCATGCAGCTACTTATGGCACAAAAGTGCTTGGACATTTATTTGTGGATATAAAATTTTGCCTGTAAAAATGAGAGACTGAAATGAGGCCCTTTCAGATGCTGGGCCTGTAAACTGCATCTTGAACTACCTGTAAAGCAGAAATGATTAAGGGGTAAGACAAAGCTTTTTGTTCAAATATGTAACATTTTTATTAATGCCAAGCACTTCTTCTCACAAGATGAAGGGACAAATTATATTTAACATCACCAATCAAAATAATTCTAAAAGAAAAGCATGAATTGGAGATGGGTTTCATAAAAGAACAGCTGAATTTTGTGTGGGGCCATAGGAAATGTTCCATAGCAAATACACAAGGGCCGCATCTACATGAGACACTGACTGCACAGTAGCATCACGCGGCAAAAACCACGACGCAACACTACTGAGCAGTAGTATTAGGCGAGTGTGCAGTAGCATCACAAGATGTTTGCTGGCACTAACTCAGGTTACTTCATAGTCATTTAGTACTTGTTTATACTAGGGCTCCGTGAAACTTCGGTCCCTGATTCAATTCGGTGGAGATTTGGCCTGATTTGGTGGCCAAATCTCTGAATCCAAATCGAATCAGGAGACCCTTTAGTCTCTCCGAATCAAATCGGAACCCTCCAAATCGATCTGAAGTGATTCAGAAAGATTCGGAGATTTGGACATAGACACAGCTTTGAAATGTTTTTTCTACATACCTCAAGGTACCAGGTGGCTCACGAATGTTGCAATGGTGGGGCAGATGGAGTGTCCCACAGGAGCATGGGGGGAGGGCCCAGTGCACTTGGCAGCAGACCCAGAAGTGGACAGAAGCACTTCTGGTCCACTTCCGGGTCCACTGGGAGCACACAGGGCCCCCCCCTGCACCCCCTCAGCTCAATGACTGGTACCTCCTGAGTCTGGGGTGAGCACCTGCGGTCCCTCTGTGGTTGATCACCGAGCCAGGGGGATGTGGCAGGACCCTCCAGTGTGCTGCCCGGTAGACCCGGAATTGGACCAGAAGTACTGTTGGTCAACTTCCGGGCTCACCGCTGAGCATGCAGGGGGCTCCCCTGCACTCCTGTGGAACGCTCCATCCACCTCAGCATCACAGTGTTCATGGGTCATTCCAGGTACCTCGAGGTATGTAGAAATAGTATTTAAAGCTGTGTCTATGACTGAATTACTGATTCTATGAATCAGCATCGAATCTTCAGATTTGGCCGAATTGAATGAGGAACGATGATCTGAATCAACAAATCAAATCAGTGTCCCTGGGCCGAATACGAATTGAATATGAGCCATTTCACAGACTGCTAGTTTATACTTGTTTTTACAGGTACTAAATGACTGCATAGTAACAACTGTGCAGTCGGCGTCTTGTGTAGATGTGGCCAAGGTGCCTGGCCTTAGAGAACCATACCCTATATCTTCCCATAGCAAGGTCAAGGATATTCCAGGAATCCAGGACAAAAGTCTTTTTGACTTACATTGTCCATAGAATGAAAACCCCCACTCTTGTAAACAACAGAGATAGCAAGATGGCACAGACTATATCATAGAATCATAGAAAATGAGGGTTGGAAGGGACCTCAGAAGGTCACATCTAGTTCAACCCCCTGCTCAAAGCAGGACCATCCCCAGCTAGATCATTTTAACCAGGGCTTTGTTGAACCAGGCCTTAAAAGCCTCAAGGGATGGGGATCTACCACCCCTCTAGGTAACCCACCCTCCTAGTGAGAAAGTGCTTTACCATCCTCCTAGTGAGAAAGTTTTTCCTAATATCTAACCTAAATTTCCCTTGCTGCATCTTGAGACCATTGCTGCTTGTTCTGTCATCTGCTACCACTGAGAACAGTCCAGCTCTATCCTCTTTGCAACCCCCCTGCAGAGAGCTGAAGTCTGCTTTTAAATCCCCCCTCAGTCTTCTCTTCTGCAGATTAAATAAGCCCAGATTCCTCAGCCCCTTCTCATAAATCATGTTCTCCAGCCCCCTAACCTTTTTTATTGCTCTCTGCTGGAGTCTCTCCAACTTCTCCACACCTTTTCTGTAGTTGGGCGGGGGGCAGGACTGGACACAGGACTCTAGTTGTGGCTTCACCAGTGCAGAACAGAGGGGAATAGCTACTTCCCTCAATCTTCTGGCAACGCTGCTACTAATGCAACAAGGGCACTCTGCTGGCTCATAGTCAGCTTATTGTCCACTGTACCCTCCAGGTCCTTTTCTTTATAGTTGTTGCTTAGCCAGTTGGTCCCAAGCCTGTACTGGTGCATGGGATTCTTGCATTCTAAGTGTAGGCCTTTGCACTTGTCCTTGTTGAACCTCATGAGATGATCCCGAATGACATAAGGAAATTCTATCCATGCAGGAATTCAAATAATACAGCTACCTTTTATAATCTACCCTGAAAGGATTTGGCCACAGGTAATTACTTTAATTCTAAATTACAGAGCTTTTACTCTGGAGTCCCTATATCAGCCCAGCTTGCTGAGGCTCCATTTACTCACAACACAGGTGTCATTCCTATATTTACTGGTTTATTGCAAGTACCCAGAAAGTTAGTCATCACTTCTGCAGCGTAAAAACTGTGTGCCCAACAGCAAGCTTTCTGGAATTACGTAATTTATTACATAAGTTAAGAAAGCAGTATTGCACTGCATTGATGCAGTAATAAGTGTGATGATCAAGCAACGTAGCCTCAGTACATCCTGTGCAATCCAGTCAGAGCCAAATTCATCCCTGGTTATGGAGCTGTATTTGTCCAACATGGAAAGTCAGGTCTGAATCCTTGGTTGTGGTCAAAGATCCCACAGTAGAGCCAAAGCAGGATGGTTGGGACATTAATGTAGTACACTGAGGAGGAAAAATAACTTTTTTTTCAATGTTTTATTTTTGCTTCTTTTTAGCAAGCAAATATTTTGCCTATGTCTTTAGTGAAGCAAAGCTCTCAAACAGTTATTTGTGGGAGGAAATTACCTGACTGCTTAATGAACACAGATTGGAAACATCTGAAGACATTCTATTTATGATGACAGTTAAAAGACATCAGTAACCTGGGGACCAGGTTACAACACAGTTTGACAGGAGTTGGAGACATGTTAGCTTATAGGAAAGTGAGATAATATGTTGTTCTGATTGTAGTGTTAGCTCAAGGTCTAACCTGAGTGTTACCCTTAACCCAGCTCCTGTCCACACACACAGATCCCCAGCTAGAGTTAAGCTTGATTTTGCTAGCCTGGCAGGAGGCATGGGCTGTAACCTTTATGCTGACATCCACGCTAATGAAAGCAGGGGGAGTGCAGCTACAGCTTGAATTAGCACAATTTGTCAGGTGCTGATCTGATCATTCAGCATGCCTAGAGAGTGATCACACAGTGATGCAACACTCAAAGAGAAGTAACTTGAGTTAACAGTGAAGATTAGCCCTTTCTCTGTTAAAAATATAAGACATCAGAGGGCCGTGTATCCATGCTGTAGGGCTCTCGGTCATTCTATTTCAATCTGAGCAATAGTAGTACTTAACACTTGTACAATGCTTTTAATCTTGCAGCAGCACACAACTAGCAACCTGCAAAAAGCCCTGTGAGGTAGGCAAGTACAGTTACCAGTATCTCTGAGTTACAGATGTGGAAACTGGAACAGTAAAGTTAAGTGACTTGACCCAGAGCACAGTGGAAGCCTGTCAGAGGTTAAATTAAAATTCAGGAGTTCCCTAAGTTTGAAAACACTTTTCTCTGAACACATCCAGCTGGATAAGCGAGCCCATTTTGTCATTGGCACATTTTGTTTGCCTGCTTGTTTTAAAGTAATGACTTCTGTTTTGTCTCTTACTGTGAAACTCTGTGACAAAAATATATTTACAACCTGGTGTTTCAAGCAGTGTATACCAGCCTTTGATTAGTTAAGACAGTGTCCTTGATTCTGCTGCTCTGAAGTGCAAGCGGTTTAGTAGCAGACTCAGCTATGAGATGCTTTGATTTTAAGAACAGGATCCTCCCCATACAAGAACTCCCCAAAAGCCTCTTTCTGTATCATCTGTTCATATCTGTCTTGCCATTCACTGAAATTATTATTTATATTACAGTAGTGTCTGGAAGACCCAACGAGGCTGGTGCTCCACTGTGTTAGGCACTGAATAAACACATTGTAGGAGACAGCCTCTCCCCCCATCCCAAAGAGCTTACAGTCTAAAAAAAGATATGATAAGTCAAGGGTTGCATGAGTAAAAGAAGTGCATAAATTTTAGTAACTTGCTCAGGGTCACACATGAGGTCATTGGCAAAGCTGGTAAAAGAATCCAGGTCTGTTGACTGCTACCTTAATGCTCTGCACTACCACAAATGATGTTTCATGTGTTAGTGTGATCTTTTGTAATATATACTCAATAGTGCCAGGCAAAACCTGAAAAAATACTGGCTCCTGTCATCTTTTGTATTTGCTTTTAGTGAACATTCATGCAGCTACTTAATGAAAAATGTTCTTAGAAAGCAAATTGCCAAGCCTTGGGGTAAGTACTTGCAGTAACCAAATTTTAAATCACAGCCAGAATATTCATTACAGAGGTGGATGTACACTTCATCAGAAAGCAGGAACAGCCTTATGCGACCTAACTGACCAATTACACCAAACTGAGACAATTTCAGTAGTTACTATCAAGTACTCATAAAGAATATGAGCATTCATACTCAAGCCAAGGGGTCAAAAAATCATTGGATACTTTTAAATATCAAATACACTTGAGAAAATCTCAATTTGCTCATGGGTGTTCAGTGAGCAGAGGAATAATCTGGATGTGCTGGAGAAAACATTCCTTGTGAGTTACTTGCTCAGCTCAAGTATCCGGGAATAGTCTGGAAGTCCCTTAGGATTTAAAGCAAGCTGAACAAGTGACAATCTTGGAAGAATTCAAGTGTGGTTTTATAATATCCGGTTCAATGGGTTGCACTGAATCACTCTCACTAGCAATTATGTGTTTCACCAGGCACCTGGAAGCTTCATCGATGTTTATGTTTTCCTGCAAGTGAAATGGAGAAAGAAGTTGATTAGGCAAAATATTAGACACACATGGTTGCATATTCCCTGTACTGTTGTTCAGCCTTTTTTCTGAACAACCTCTAATATTTACTTTCCTATTAAAAAAAATTTTTTTTTTTTAAAAAATTGAAAGCATTTAATAATACTTTGTATAAATATTTTGTTATGTATTACCTATTACCAGGTATCCTGGTTTTCTTTGATAAAAACATCTCCAATTTCTGGATTAAAAAAGTAAAAGCCACATTTTCCATGATCAAAATGAAACACCACTATATCTCTCTCTATGTAGGATATAAATATATATATATATATAATATATTTTTTATATAT